CAGCCCGAATGATTTATGTGTCAATTAAAAAAAAATAAAAAAAGGCCTGATAACCCTCTAAAAGATTTACTGTTTCCCTTGTGTAAGCTGCAATGGTGAAAGAGACGAACGCACGTGCACCTGATCTAGAAAATGCCTTAAAAAAATAATGTAAGATTCAATTCTGTTCTTGCCTATTTTTGTAAATTCATTCGTACAAAGTTGTGCAATAACATTTGGAATTTACTACAGTACAGCTTCCTCTTAAAAGTTTCTGTTCTGCATATTTCAGATGATCGTTAACAAAGTAGATGAACATGTATTGCAGCTGTACACAACAACTGAATGCTCTCCAATGCCATAAACCAACCAGATATTGATTTTCTAGACTTTGCTAACAGGAAGTATTACTTGTTCAACTATGCTAGAAGTACCATTTTTTGTACGAGTTGGCTGACAAGAGGACCGACTTGTACAAAAAATTGTACAAATGAAATAATTCTTACTTGTTCTACGCAGATCCCACAAAGACGGGGTCAATGAACCATATAAAGGGATTGGACTACCATGACCACACACTACACTTTCAATGTGTTTTCTCTCCTACTCCTACTTAGTAGTCCGAGCTCTATTATAAATGTGGTGATGTACGACTAAGACAAAGCCTGATAGTGGAAGTGATTCAAGACGTTTGAAGAAGAGCAAGACTTCAGACCTCGAAGTGGTCCAAGAGGAGCTTCACGGGTTTAGAGTACCTTTAAAATCTAAACTCTTGTGATCTTTCTAGATAAGAATCACAATGTTTACATGTAATGTAGTCGGTTCCTGTTAGAGGTGGAGACAAAGTTTGATTTTACTTCTTAGATGATAAAGTTGGAAGCTGATAGAGGTGAAAGCAAAGTTTGACTTTTGTTAATAAACGATAAGGTAGTTGTCAAATTGTTATTTGTTACTAAGAAGAAAATTCAAACAAGTTATGCTACCAAGTCCAGAAAGGAAAGTCTATTGGTTGGTCAAATTCATGTTTGACTTTTCATCTCCTAAAAGGAGAAATGAGAGTTGTATTTGTCAAATGACAAACCGCCTTACAAAATCTATAAATAGGCCTTAGAATGTGTATATTCAATGAAAGTATGCCAAAAACAAATTGAGCACTAAGTAAGTGAGGATTTGAGAAAGGGTTTGGTATTGAGAGGGATAGAGAGTTTGAGATATTTTGTAACTGCTCTTTAAAACTCATCTTATAATCCTGTGTTTCTATTTTATAGTGAAGCAACGTTATTTCATGAGTGAAATCTTTGTCCAAGTTTTGCTATCTTTCTTTATCATGGGCAATCATCCCCAACAGTTCCTAATTGAATAAGAACTAAACTAGGTATGAGATATCCAGGGATTTGAAAAGGGTTTAGAGAGAGTCTAATTAGCCTAAAAGTATATTCTACTGATTGTGTTTTCTTCGCCGAAAGTTAACATCCTGTAACATGAATGAAGTTATCGAAACCCAAATTCAAACAAGTTATGCTACCAAGTCCAGAAAGGAAAGTCTATTGGTTGGTCAAATTCATGTTTGACTTTTCATCTCCTAAAATGAGAAATGCGAGTTGTATTTGTCAAATGATAAACCGCCTTACAAAATCTATAAATAGGCCTTGGAATGTGTATATTCAATGAAAGTATGCCAAAAACAAATTGAGCACTAAGTAAGTGAGGATTTGAGAAAGGGTTTGGTATTGAGAGGGATAGAGAGTTCGAGATATTTTGCAACTGCTCTTTAAAACTCATCTTATAATCCTGTGTTTCTATTTTATAGTGAAGCAACGTTATTTCATGAGTGAAATCTTTGTCCAAGTTTTGCTATCTTTCTTTATCATGGGCAATCATCCCCAACAGTTCCTAATTGAATAAGAACTAAACTAGGTATGAGATATCCAGGGATTTGAAAAGGGTTTAGAGAAAGTCTAATTAGCCTAAAAGTATATTCTACTGATTGTGTTTTCTTCGCCGAAAATTAACATCCTGTAACATGAATGAAGTTATCGAAACCCGTCGTTAGTAAGTCGAAAAATACAAAAAATGTGAATTGGGGAAATAATATTAAGCTTAATCAAGAAGAAGAAACATACCTATAGTCATATCCTAAATGGGAAAGATTTTTTGAAAGAAGCTAGAAAAATGACTTGACAATCCTTCATATCTTGTAAACACAGCAAATCCCAACTAAAAGGCAAAAAGAGAAATAGCACAATCATAAAGAGAACTAATCTTATCTCAACATAAAAATTTCCACAGGAAATCAAATGAATAGAACATTGACCCAAAAAATTTACAAGCAAGACGAAAATTTTCAATTCCGAAATTCTTGGATTACTAAATTCTTAGGCTACTAAGTGTTATTGTAGTTGAGGCTTGTCGAGGTTGATGAATAAACGGTTGTTCAAAACCAAAACATTTACAGGTAGAGGCCTTGTTTATCTTTTCATAAGATATATAGATAATAAACAATGACATGCTTTCAAATACTTTACAGGCAACTTAATATTTTCATGAAATTTATTAAACTATATCAATAATGAAAATTTACACACACGTGGACGTACTCCCACATGTTGTCGTTCATGTATATCGCCATCATAAATCTCTATCAACCTGTTGTGATAAAATCCGCAAGTACATGAAATTGTAGAAAACCAATAAAGTATGAGTAG